TGATTCAATATGAACGTGGATGTATAATATCAATCGTAGTTAACCCCGTTGCAAGATTGTTCTGCGCAATCTCATTTTCTGTCAACAGGTTGGTGCCACGATTTATGAGCTATATCGTTTATGCATTTAGAATGAGACAATAATTCACATATGTTTCACACCAAATATTATTTTTCACGATTTTAAATTTCTATCCAAAATATTAATTTTTGTTTAGATACAATAATAAATGTGGTAGTAATGTAATGAAACAAAATTTGAGAATTATAGACATATGAATAACTCTGAAGACATAATTTATATATATATAAAATTTAATTCTTTTCGATAAATCAGAGTTTTTCTAGACAATTGAATTAATTTCTAAATAATCGAATTTGTTAAATTGTTTCGACATTTGAATACAATTTTAAAACAAAGTTAAAAGGGGATAAGTCCGAATCGTTTAATCGAACCGGGTAATTTTACGAGATAGGGTTTGTATCTTCGTCGTCCAATCGAGCGAGAGAGCTTTAACGAGGGCAGCAGTGATCTCAACATTGATTACACCTCCGATAAACTATTTGTAACGAGTAATAACACCATCCTTGGATAATCTCATAGGTATCAAGCTTTGATTGAGTTTATCTATCTATCTATCTATTAAAATAATTATTAAGAAAAAAAAAAAAGGAAAATAGATTCTGAAAGTTTTGCTTCATTAACGTATGATTTAACTTCATTTTGAAATATAGTATATTCGAAGTAATAATAATCGAAATATTTGAAATGTAAAATTTTTCTCAAGCTCAAATAAAATATATAAAGAATATTATAGATTGAAAAAAATATCAAAATTTACAAAATAGATAGAACTTATAAAATTATTCGATGTTAAATTACTATTTTATATTCAAGTATTTTATATTCCATTTTATTGCCAATTTTTTGATTAAAAAAAAAATATGCATTTTTTTCATAAACAACATACAGATAATTAACGTCTACGTCCCTTTTTTCTAGAGAAAATCACGCTGGGAAACGTTTTCGTAATTATATTTAATAAACAAGTCAATCTCAGATTCCTCAAGTACTGGTGTTTGGCGGAGTGGCTGTTATTTTTCAGCCATTTTAAATTCAGGTCGAGCACCATTTTTTCCTTTCTGCATTTTTTTCTTACATAGAGGTCCCCTCGTCCAATCCGCGGTAGACATGGTAATTATGAGACATTAAAAAAAAGAATTTAATTACACCTATTATGGAATCTCAACTACCCCCGTCTTATTTGAAATTTCAAGTCAGAGAAGGATCGACTTACTTCTTCGGACATTCAACCCTCTATTTATTTTACATTCTGTAAATCATAATTCAATTTTTATCAATATAAAAATATTGTAATTTGTAATGAAAATCTAGTCTAACTTCTTGCGAATTTGTTACAAATTCATAAGCTTTAGAAATTTTCTACAAAATCAAATCTCTTTCTAATTCTCTTATTTTAATAAAATAAAATGAAAGAGAAACTTAAGAAAAAAATAAAATTTGTAGCAACATTGTTAAAATTGAGAAAAATTAATTCAAACTATGATTATCGTCATACGTACAATATTTTTCAAGATAAAAAAAAATCATTTTCCAAATAATATTCGATCACGAGTAAAATTCGTTTAAATTCTCCTCTCACGCATCTCTCCCCGACACGATCCAAGGATCGAAAAATTAAATCGGAATAAAATTTTAAATTTGGCACGATAATCAAATTCTAACAAACGAATCATCTATATAATAAATCCAATCGCTTTAAGCTCGAATATCGTTGACAAATCTGGAAAATCATGATGAACGATCAAAAATTCAACTCGTCCACGTCGCCCACTGCGGATGAATAAATAATCGGGGGATTGGGCCGCGTGTACGTGTCTCCGGGATTGGCCGCGTTTCCGGTGCAATTAAACGACGGCCACGTATCGTCGGAAGGTCGAATGGCGAATTTCGTGACAAATGAAAATCGAATGGCAGGCCGGTCCTCGGTCAACAGGCAATTCCACAGGGGGGAGGAGGACAGTTAATCCGATTTGCAGACGTGTGCGAAGCGGCACGCGTTTCACGCTGAACAACGCAATTCCGTCCGGCCACCAATCAGTTCTCGCTGATCTAATTCCATTTGGCTCGACTATATCGGCCGAGCGATATTTCATCGAGCGTCCATGCTCGAACAGCCGATTTTTCTCTTCCTTTTTCGTTTCGATATTTGCCCGTTGCCTCGTTGCCTCGCGATTCGATGTGTGTGGCGTTACATTGGTAAATATTGAGGTTAGGAAAGAAGATGTGATGGCGTTTATGTTTATGTCGCGCGTTTTTTGATTTTATAAAAGAATTGCAAGGTTTTCTTTGTATCGATTTGTATCGATCGGAATTTTGTGAAATTTTGAAAGGTGACTTTTTGAAAATTTTTAAGATCGAATAATTTTATGAAAGGATTGGAAAGATTTTATTTGTGATTCGAATAATTTTATGATATTTTGAAAGATAATTTTTCGAGAAATGGATAATTTTTTATTCGTGAAAAGTATTTTTTGTGATTTATACGATTGGAATTTTGAAAATTGAATAGTTTGAATATACTAGAAATGCTATTTGGATAATGGGATCTAATATAGTGGTTCTCAACTTAGAGATCGAAAGAAGGCATTATTTATTTTATTATATAAATTTTTCAATTTACCTGTTCTGATGCATTCCTCTGTCATGCAAACGTTTGGACCTGAAATGAAGAAAAAAATACAATTATTTTAACCATGATTTTTAAATATCATTTTTAAATGATATTTCACGCGAAACGTGAAAATCGTTCAGTGTGAATAATTCGTTTAGAATCATATAATATATTTATACGGTTTATTGAAAAAGGAGATAGCAATTTTCTGCGTCATTAACACGGATCCAACATCGAACCACAATAAAAAGCAATTTTCCAGTTCGATAAACGTGGCTTTATTGTTTCTGTTTCCAGCATACGATGCAGAAATAAAAAAAATGATCTTGTTCGTATTTTTATCTTTACGAAAGGTGTTCCACGTGGAATTTTCATTTAACCAATAATGAATAATTCATTTATAGAATCATTTCACGTCAAATCGATCATTTTTTGAATCGGTAAAATATCTTAAATTTCATTTAATTTTATATAATTTGCATTATATCTTATTATTTAAAAGATTTCTAATCATCACATCCAAATTAAAAAATTATTAGAACAATACAATTATTTTCCATGAAAAAGAAGATTCGCATATTTATAATAATTTATTTATCAAACGAAATTATTTCATCAAAAAAAAAATTTTCTGTTCCATCTTTCTTTAATGGATATCACAAAAATGATTAATTCTTTTGCCACAAGCAATGAGGTAACATCGGCCTTTTCGAGCAGAACTTGATAGCCTCGACTCGATTCGATTCGGCTGATTGATGCTTGCTTCTGACACGAGGTTTGAAAGCGGTTTGCTATTTTTTTCCTTTTTTTTTTTTCTTTTTCTCTGTAAGTAACACTTTGATTATAACTTTCTTATATCGAACTCGAAATTTTCATCGAGAAATTTTTGCAGATATATTTGATAAATATGTATTAAATAACATTTTAAGCTAAGAAAATGACAAAAAAAAATATGAATAAAAATATAACATAATTTCAATCTTTTTTTTTTTTTTACAAGCAAATATTACATTCATTTTAGAGAATTAAATATTTCGTTTAAATTTAAAGTATCTCAGATTACACAGTTGTTGAAAAATATACTTTTGCGCTCAAGATAAAGTTTTACTTCTTTATATAATAAAAAATGCAAATATTTTTTCGAGTAATTTCACACGGGAACGCGTCCTTTTCTGCAACATTCCTTTAAAAGTATTCCGTAAAGTAAAGTTGTAATTAAAGTCTTTTAAAGAAGATTTCCGCAAGCAAAATTAGAAAGACTTCTCCACGAGAAAGAAGTGGACGAACTTCCCAATAAAAGTTTTAACAATTTTCTTCTTTTCCACACAATGCATCAAGTTTTGCAATATATTGAGAAAGAGCTTGTTACGAGGCTTGTCTTGAATAATTTGATCAAAAAATCTCCAGAATACGGAATTCTCACTTTTTAACAAGAATCTAATTTAATTTTTCTGGAATACATTAATGTATCTTAACATATGAATCTACGTACATTACCATATTATTTCCATATCAAAAGATAAAAGATAAAGCTTTAAATCAATACAAATCTTTACATTTAAATTTATCTCTGATTTAACTACTATTAAATATTAAATTTATCTAAATATAGAAAGAGAAAACTGAGAGAAATTAATATCGATATCCCTTATCATATATTTAATCAAATATTTAAAAAAAAAATCTACTTTCTATCCGCCTTAAACAATCTTAATTACTCAACTTCGATTTCAAGCTTTAATGCGAGGATCATTATTTTAATTAATAAAATTTACGCAATCCTAAAAAAAAAAAAACGATCAATTCTCATTCAATATCCTCCAATCTACCTCAACATCAAACTAACTCATTTCAATTCCAGATCAATCTTCGAATCTACGATTCAACGGCTTGTGAAACCATTGTACTCCCCGAGCGTGCACGGCTCGACACTA